CAGTATAATTAAAATAAAAAAATTTTCATCGATTTTAGATAGGTGGTTGTCGAGATATTTTTGCTCAAAGTTTAGAAAAAAACTTCAAAACAAGTTACGGCAAAATTATTTCCGAACTTTGAGCAAAGATATCTCAATAACCATCTATCTAAAATTGTTAAAAATTTTTTTATTCTGATTCTATATCCCTGTTTAATTAAAATAAAAAAATTTTTATCTATTTTAGATGGTTACCAAAATATCTAAAAAAAAAAAAAATCATTACAATTGAACAATTTCATCCAATCAGATGTGACTATTCAAGTAGAATCTTATATGATTATAAGGAATACATTTAAAAAATTATATGATTATTCTGATATGTCTTAACGGTTAGAACGCGGGTCCGTAGATTGCACTAGCTACAGGTTCGAATCCGTGTTCTCCATACTCGTAGTGAAAATTGCCCAGTTTGAAATATCAGGTGATCATTGGCCGATTATTTTGCACTAAATTGTGATTATTGCGAATTTGTACTACACTAAAAATCAATCGCATGATCAGATGATTCGATTTTATCACAAAATTTATCAATTATAGATTCTCTCTTGAATCTACTCAATCGTTAATTCCAGATGGGTTTTTGTCGAAATGAGTAGAGCTAAATGAATAAAATGTAAATCAATAAAGTCGATATTTGAATCTTAAAATTGGAATACTAAATTTTTGTTATCCCGTAGTTTTTAAGCCTCAATCAATAAATTTAAATGTGTTCGGATCAAAAGCTTATCGATTCAGTCACTGACAATTGTTGTAAGATGAATAAGAAAAAATTTAAATAGTGAAAAAATGATCAGCGAGTTTATCAAAAAAACTTTTTGCGCTGAACCACCTTTTTTTTGCATTGGCTTATCAAAACCTATAACTATTTCATATTTTCGAAAAGCATAGGTACGACTGGTCATGTAATTGGATGAATGCCGGCAAGCCAAAGGTGCCGGAAATAAATTCAATTAAGGGACTTTTAAGTCCGCAGAATACATTGTGAGTAATTTGAGCTGAGTAATCTGAACTGAAACGATGATATACTTCCGGGAAAACGAGTGAGAAGCAGCATCAGCCGGTTGTTAAATAGGAAAGTGACAGAATCAGAAGATTACCGTGTGTGGTGAGAAAGGTGGGTCGAGAAAAAAGAGATGGTTGCAATGCTTGGTTGTGTTGAAAGAGGAAAGAGCGTCGCAAGTAAGCCATTTGTCGCTTCATTCGCATGAAATTCCTGCGGTCTGATGTCTCTAGCCCATGTTATCAGGGCAGGGGTTGTAGCACATGGCGTGTAACCCCTGACCATTCTCCCCTGTCTTTTCGATCTGTTGCCTCTTGTCGTTTTAGAAACCATTCAAAATTCATTCAAGCGGTGATTGAGGTCTTTATTTTGATCTATCTATCGTAGCAATTGAGCACCACTACAGCTATTGGCAAATTACGGTAATAGTAATACTTGAGCATGCCTGTCATTTGTATTATTGACTTTTATCTAAAATGTTATGAAAATAACTAAAATTACGTCATAATGCTTGTGCACTATATCACTATGAAATCGCATCTAGGTGGATGCTTGAGAATAGAGATTGGAATCGAATCTTTAATTCACTGAATATTAGAATTAATTCGATTTAAAATTATATATATTCGAATTAAGTTAGAATATTCATGCATAAATATACGTGAAAAATGGATGTAGCCGTTATATAAGCAATACAACCGTTATGTCTACAATGTAGTCGTTAAATATATGTATGCGATACACTGTAATATAGCTATTACTGTATTATAACCGTTATAATCATTATAGCTGTTATAACCATTATATCCATTATAGCAGTTATAACCGTTATATCTATTATAGCAGTTATAACCGTTATATCCATTATAGCAGTTATAACCGTTATAGCCGTTATAGCTGTTATAAAAATATTCTAACGGTCTAACCATTATAAAAGTATTCTAACAATCTAAACTGATTTAATGTTTCATAAAGTTAAAATCATTTATGCGAATCAGTAGGCGAATCAATAAATTTGAATGTTATATAAATTAAGTTCGATTCTAATCTCTAGAGTGGTTTGACAAGCATTTGTCAACTACTCAATGTTGCAATTAATAAACTGTTTAAGAATGATTTTCATAAAGAGTAGCATCTTTGAATGGCAAAAGGCGGTATCAAAAAAACTATAGCTAGAAACCTTAAATGTGCTAGAATAAGTAATGTATGTGAGTGAGTAAAAAATTCATAAGAACAAATACCAGATGATGTTATTATTAAATCCTTTATAAAATGTGGTATCTCAAATGATTTAAATAAAAATATTGATGCTGATAGAGGATTCTGGCAATAAATATAAGAATGATAATATTAAAATTGTAGATATCAGTAAAGATGATAAAATCATTGATATTGATGAGGATAATAAAATTATAGATATCGATAATAACAATGAAATTATAAATATTATAGATATTAGCAATAATGATATAAAAATAATAGATATTAGTAATGATAATGAAGTTATAAACATTAGCAATAATATTGAAATTATAGATATTAATGATAATTAGTTTATTTGTTGTAATTAAGAGTTGTATAACATAGTTGTATAATTTAATTGAATAATTTAAATAAATGAATATATTAAATCTATTATTGCAAAGTCAGAAATGTAAAACCAATATAAAAACATAGGGTGCTTATTTTTGGATATTTTACAAAATTTGGTAATGCTTAATTTCAGAGAATGCTTAATTTCAGAACTATATAATATTTAAAGTTTTTTTTTTTTTAAAAAAACTAGCCTCTTTGAGGCTAGGATTTTTTATTCAGGAATACAGAACAGAGGGTTTATCATGCTTAAAAATAATATTCGTTTTGATTTTCGTTTTGACTTTGACTTTGACTTTCATTTTGACTTTCACT